ACATCACTAATTTAGACAGCCGTTAGCACATGAGTCTCCTTACGGGGACCTGATATGTTTAATATGCTGCTGAGAGTATACCCCAGAAGAAGCGTATAGTATAGCATTTATTTTGGAAAGAGCCATTTCTCTGTAATAAACTCTCTTTTCCAAAGATGAGTGATTTCTCGATCAGATAGATTTATTATTTTATCCCTTTGTTGTTTCAGCAACATTAAATTAAAAAAAGGTACGTTTGAGTTAAAATATATATTTATAATTTTAATAAATGACAAATTTTAAAAAAAGCATGAACATTTTTTTTGTATCGAAAAAATATCGAACCAAGTATCGAACCAAACCGTGAATTTGCTCAAACTTTGAAGGTAACTACTTTTATGGCTTCATCAAACACATTCATAAAAAAAATCAGCTAATTCGATCAGGTGGGGGCTTTTTTTTTTCTCCCAACAGTAAGAACGACAAAGGATTTCTCCATTGCTTTAGATTTTCATGCACATGCAATATGGGTGTCCTTTTATAAGTAGGCATCAACATTCCATCACTGCTGCCTGACGCCAAGCTGTCACTTCAGTTGTGTTTAGCTTTTACTGTTACACGTATTTTGTCTGTTTTGAATCAAGGTGATGTCATGTTGTGTGCTGCAAAAGTTTTGATTGAGGAAAAAATGAGAAAAGTTTTGTCTTTTTATGCAGTGGTGTTTTGGTTAAGTTAAAATTTTCCTCTTGTCAAATTCTCTTTTGTTAGCGTAAACTATTTGTCAACACTGACTGAGATGGGGGTATTGTAAAGTCTAATTTTGATCATTTAACTGCCTGTGAAAATCTATACATTTGTTATTAATATTCTGCAATTTTTAAGTCATTGCATACACTATCCTGACTTTATACTTTAATTTACTCACAAGACTATCATTGCGCCGTGCGGAATGATTGATTTTATTATTATTTTTTTCTTTCGGTAGTGTACTTCTCTGTAGCATGGATGCTCAATATCTTGTAATCATGGATTCTAACTTTCTACAAGTTGATTATTTTCCCACAGTTGTCAGATGATTATTACGTGCAGGAACACAACAGCCTCTTGATCCAAGACTTTCTTTGTGTCAAAAGTACTTCTGTAACACTATTAGTTTGTGTAGGATTTGTTCGTACCATAGTAGAAATTAGGGTTTGTCACAGGATCTGCTTGTTTGACACAAGTAGGGTTTTCAATAATATGTTTGGGGTTTTAGTCAATTGTTATTTAATTTCTGTATTTACACTACCTGTATCTCAGACTGTTTAAGGTGTCATCCAAATACAAAAAACAGTTGTGCATTTTTGTCCTTATTTCTCTGGAAGAAAACACCACTTTTTGTTTTGCTTTGTTTTTTTTTTTACTTACATTTCTTCAAAATAAACATATAATGCCTGCCTTTGCATATGTCTTTTTGTCCTTTATAATCACTTGTAACTGAAATTAAGAGAGTAGTGGCAAATACAGTGAATGGTTACAGTTTGAGATTAGTTTATTGTCTACACAAATCTGTAGTTACAATAGTTTTTTGCCAGAAAACAATGGGTATGATGTTTGTATGAGCTGAAATAAATAAAACCTCACAATCTTCCCATACAGTGCTGACTTGATTCAGAGTAGTGTATATGGGGGATTTACACAGTATTCAGACTGTTTCACTCTAAAGTCTGTAACATTTGAATCTACACTTTATTCATAATGTGAAGTGAGTTTAAGTTTTATTTATTTAAATAAAAACACCTGTCACAAAAATATTCAGCCTTCGTAGCTCTCGAGCCAGTGTTTAGGTAAATCCTTTTTTTCAAACTGTCCTTGATGTGTCAGCGATGTGTTGGGAGTCTGCTGCCTGCCTGGAAGAATAAAGGGGGAGCCTAATGAGACATGCACAGTGTGCTTTCTACAAGTGCTGCAAAAGGCACCTTGACAAAGTGCTGAATTCATTTTTTAATATTTTTGAAAATGGGGAGCTTGTGTTTTAAAAGACACTTGAATAAATTTGCAAAAACAGTTTTAAAACATGTCTTTCTTTCTCATTATGGGTTAATCATTGTCATGTGATGGAGAGGAAACAAGTTTAATCCATTTGAAAACATGCAATGAAAAATGTGCAAGGAATGAAGGGGGGTGTGAATACTTTGTGAATTTGTTGTACATAAAAATGTTTCATTGTTTTACATTATTCTGATTAACACAAGTGTAGCTGTTGACACTGTATATGGCATGCTTATTCACATACAAGCTATTTGAGGGTTATCTGGAGATGCAAAAAGCTACGTAGCAAATCTGAAGGTTATTTATGAAATTGGAATGGTGCAATCACACGGTCCCAGTAATTAAAGCTGCGTTTTATGAACCATCTTATCAGGAATCATTGCTCATGTTCTGTTTTCACTTACTGCTGCTGGTTGAAATGAAGTGGTTTATCAATGTATTAGTGAGACCACTTAAACAAAGTGGAATCAGGGCTGGGGAATGGCAGTGTCTAATGGTGTTTCATCACCTGCTTTTCTGTTACTATTTTGTTAACCCTGTGATTTTTGCCTTTTGAAAACTGCTCTTCTGAAAAGCCACTAACATCGCAAAAATATTTTATTTTCTGTAAAAGATAGCTTTAGAACACTTGGATCACACTGGGTATGCAGATAAGCAGCATAGTATGCGCACCTCTGGGCTTGAATGAAAACAAACTCTGCTTTGAATATTGAAGACACATTAAAACGAGCCTTTATTTAATTGCTACTGCATTTTTTTACTTAAAAAATGTAATAAACTTTTAAATAGTTATTGTAGCATAGTTGATTTCCTCAGATGTTGACAGGTCAAGAAGTGCGAGTAGAAACTATCCACCTTTGGCGGTGTTGGAGCTTGATGGAATGTGACACTTCACACAACAACTTTGGGGCTTGCAAGAAGTGGCAGTTAAGGGGAACTGTGGAGGTCAATACAAATTTTGGGAAACTAGGAAATGTATGAGATAAAATTGTGTATATGTCGGGCATACAAACAGAGTGAAAATTCACACAAATTACACAAATGCACTGCTCCACTGTATCATAAGCAAACCCTTAAAAAGTCCACTGTGGAAATTTTGATAAAGAGGGGTCGACAAATGGGTTGATAAGAGTTGTTTTGGAAGCATTTGTGCAAATAGACTCCAAACTGTGCCACTTGTCCACAATTAACAAAAGTATGTTTAGAGAATATAAAAAAGTTTGATTACACATGAGAGTTGAAACATTAACCTGTGGGTTGCAACTAGCAACCCCCCCCCC